AAAAAAAAAAAAAAAAAAAAAAAAAAAAAAAAAAAAAAAAAAGGGAGGAGGTGGGAAAGGAACCTGGAAGCCGGGGTTGGGGGCGGCTGCTGCTGGTGGACACCGTCGTACCAGGATCGTCGGACACCGTCGTACCAGGATCGTCGGACACCATCGTACCGGGATCGTCGCACATCGTCGTACCGGGATCGTCGGTTTTTTTTTTCTTTTCTTTTCTTTTTTTTTCTTTTTTTATTCTCTGTTGCAGGTGCTGCGGCTGCTGGATGTTCCCGCTACCAAAGGTAATATACCGTTTTATTTATTTTCCTTAAATAATTGCGGAGGGCACTACTTTCGTCTTCTGCGCATATGAAAAACGGCATGGTGAAATGACAGAGGAAGCTGTGTCGTCGTTGGTAAGTGTTTTATTTTGTTTTATCCCCCCCCCCCCGTGGATTAGGGCTCTTGGCGATACCACGTTAAAAAAAACGCGCCGAAAGCTCTACCTCCAGGAGCAGCACCAAATCCTCTGTCTGATTGGGCTCTCCTAAGGTGGTGTGGAAAGGAGCTTGTCAAAAGTAAGACTTTTCTCTTCCTTCTGCTGATAAGGTTACTCGCAATACACTGCAATGATTCGCTTAAGTCAAATTGAAGTTGCACACAAACTCATTACTACTGTATGGCAAACTAACTGGAGGTGTACTCCGATAAGAAGTGCAATAAGTTTGAGTGCAATATCAATATGGGTTAGCTGAATCATAATCATCCAACCCTTTCATTCACGGTGTACCAAAAAAAGTTGAGAGCTGAAATTTTTCTTACCTGAATTGGGCTTTCCATTGCTGTTTGGTCTTGCTGAAGGGGCTCCGTCCCTGGCTTCGACTTCTAACGCGTACGCGCCTTGCTTTTCACGATCGAACACGACTTTCGTATAAATCTCGCCCGATTGCATATTAATTTCGAAATAGTCTTTGCCTTCATTCCGCGGGGAATCGACAACATAGTAAAACGTCTGGAACAAACAGGAAAACCAATTGTCAAATAGTGGTCAAATGAAATGAAAATAGAACAATTATCAGACTAGAACTAACTTTTTTAAATTTCTAAGCTGAGAAAAAATGCTGAATGAGCATTCGAATGTTGCCAAAGTCCCTTTAAGAAAATACTTAATTTTGTAGAAAGTTGTAAATACTCTTCCTTGACATTTTCAGACACTGGATCAAATTACCAACAAAAATCGCTAAAAAGTCTGTGGAAAAATATTTACAAATTTTCTTGAAAATTCATGACTTGACTAGGTTCAATGGTTTATGCGGCATGCTTCCTGAGCACAGCAGTACAGGAATACAGAATCTTCCATATTTTTTAGGTTCAGCGGACAATTTTTAGGAACATTAGTTTTAATGATGAAGCAGGAAATTTTGAGTCCAGATACAAAAAAAATCATAGCTGCATCAACTACTTAGCTGCTACGTCCTGCCTTAAGGTGATTCGATGAACGCTATACTTTGTGTCAGACCGACATGCTATACTTCGCATCGATTAGTTCCATTTTCTCAGCTACTTATCATTTTTTTCGAGTTTTGAGATCGCATTTCTGTTGTCAGGAGACTAAAGAATTTACTTACCAATTTTGACAATCAAATTCAACTTAATAAAGTTTTAGAGGAAAAAAATCGCATTCGATACTGATATCGAAACTGCACTCAAATGCTATATTTTCTCTCTAAAAACACCATGCCTATATTACGTTGAATTGTTTGGCAAAATTGGTAAGAATTCTTTAGTCTTTTGACAACAGAAATGTCATCTCAAAATTCGAGAAAAATGACGAGTAGCTGAAAAAATGGAAGCAATTGATGTGATACATCACGTGTCGTTTTGTCACAACAAATGGCGTCCTTTGAAACACTGTAACTCCTTATTTCTTGGTATCAAGGTCCAATTTTTAGGTGCAATCAGCATATGATACAGTGTGGATATAGGAAACTTGCATCAAAGGAGCAGAGTCTTATAAAGAAAAGTGCATACTCGGGCACTATGAGCGATCACTAGACTAGATAAGAAATTAAGGTGATTCGATGGACACCATATTTTGTGTCAGAACGGCATGCGATATATCGCATCAATTGGTTCCATTTTTTCAGCTACTCGTCATTTTTCTCCAATTTTGAGATCGCAATTCTGTTGGCAGGAGACTAAAGCACTCACCAATTTTAACAATGATATTCAATGTCATAAAGGCGTGGTTTTTTTAGAGAGAAAATGTCGCATTCAAGTGCAGATTCGATATTAGTATCGAATGCGATGTTTCCTCTCTAAAAAAACCATGCCTTTATTACGTTGAATTTGTTTGTAAAAATTGGTAAGTGAGTGCTTTAGTCTCCTGAAAACAGAATTGCGATCTCAAAATTCGAGAAAAATTATTAGTAGCTGAAAAAATAGAGCCAATCGATGCGATATATCGCACGTTGTTCTGACACAAAATATGGCGTCCATCGCAGCAGTATATGGTATCAAAATTTCACTGTTAAATGTTAGGTTTATACTCATCACTGTGTGGTTAGTATAATGCTGTTCCGGTTGTTCGGGGTCGGACACCGCAGATACCGGGAACTATACCGTTCTCTATGGGCTCTGCGATGCTCGTCCCAGGGCATCCAAGTTAGGAAAAAGTCTGTATAATTGTATATATTTTCAGTCGATAACCGTTATTCATTTTTAAGTTACATCTAAATATCTTATTTCTGTACAGAAGTTGATATGTTTAAAAAAAAAAAAAAAAAAAAAAAAAATGTTTCCTCATCAAAATTTCACGCTGATTGAGTAAAACACATCAAAAACTTCCTATATTATCTCATGTGTAAGAAATGAACATGCTTGGTTTATATTAATAATAAATAGTACCTAAATTAAAACTTCTACTTGCAAAAAAAAAACAAGATTAATGTATACCAAATTGGGCATTCAAATCAATTAGGCAAATAACTAGAGCTATGTTTCACATTTCCTTCTTCTTTTGATGCAAGGTATCTTTGATCTTGTCAAAAGCAAAATTTGAACACAGTAAAATTCATTCATCTAAAATACCTCAATTCGTATGTATGTATAAGCCGCTTTTACGGCGCACTCGGGCGCTCTGCGACGCCTACTCTCCACAGGAATCTGTCATGGTAGAGATCCTCCGGAAGCTAGCATCTCTCCATCTCTTCACAGATGCCCTCTACCCACCGTTTGGCTGGACGCCCTCTCCGTCGCCTACCTGGGGGAACCCACTCCAACACCTTCTTCGACAACCTGGTATCAGCCTTTTTCTGCACATTGTTGCTGTTTGTACTGGTATTGTTCGCAACTTTCTATATGTTGACCATCCTCCAGGACTATGCTTTCAAATTCGTTCAAAGCTTAATTTGACATTCGCAGACTCTGTTTTTTTCTTTTTCTCGTGAACGGAAAGTGTGAATTAACTTAGAAGACAAAAACCTTTGTTTTCTAGCTCATGAATTGAATTTGGAATGTTTCGATGTGTCTATCATATTGTACATGAAACTTCAATGAGGAAACATATATTGTAGAGTTGTGGTCCATTACTCCAAGATGATAAAGATTTCTTAAGCCATGCACCATAATGAATATGGAGCATACAAATGTATCTAATCTAATTGAGAACAAGACTTACTTGATTATTAGGACTCGTCCCGTCTTTATCGATGGCATTCACTTGCGTCACTTTGGTTCCGATTGGTTCACCTTCAAGGACAGTTTCTTGTTCCCGTTCAGTGAATAGGGGTATTTCGTCGTTAACATCTTCTAGGACGATATACACCGTAGCTTCCGAAGCTAGCTGTTGCGCACCATTATTCTAGAAAGAAAGCAAAAAAAAGTCACAAATTTTTCAACCGCTCATTCAATATTGCTGACACAAGCCTGCAGAAAATAAATTCGCATGAAGAACTTAAATCAAAATCGGTGAGCTCTAGATGAGTGTAGTGGCAATTTTACATGTTGGCAACACTGTTGCTCCTCCATTTAAATCCATTAAAAATATCGACTTTTGACTGAGAATCGATTGAATTATAAACACATATAAACAAACAGTATTGCCAACTTTCAAGAATCACCACTGGATGAGTGAAAAGTGATCTTATGATTAAAAAAATGATTAAACTGCCTCCGAAATAAAATTAACCCTTGTAATCAGCACATTCTTTTCTTTTCCTTACTTCACTCTCACTGGTATTTACTAGGCTAGATTCGGTGAGGGCATGCTCCACAACGGAGATTAGTTTTTGTTCAACCAATGAAATTAGCATACCAATTGAAGCGCACTTACTCAGCAAGTCAGTAAAATTTCAATTCAGATCCTCCTCGACCAATAGAGGTAGAAATGTGAATATGTTGGAGTGAATTCTGATGAGTGATGGGGGACGCTGAGAGAAGGATACAGTTTCGCTGGACGCAAATGCTGTGTTCATGGTAATGAAGGGGTTAAAAGTTTAATGTAATGCCTTTGACTCAGTCTAATGACCTTCATAAATAAATGAACTCATAAATTTTTAAAATGTTTAAAAAAATTTATGAACGGCACATAAAAGGAAAACCAGCTTCTGTGAAAATAAAGTAGAAGGACAATTTTTACTATTTGCAAAAGTTAGAAAGTAATCCTGGGGATTTTTCTTAAAAATTGTGAGAGAAAGATCAATTTAAGTAGGTACGACAGTATCTAGAGAGCTGATTAATCATACATACCTCAACTCGGACCGTTAGATTGTATTCCTTGATAGTCTCATAGTCGAGGGGATGGTTCACTTTGATATCCGCCCATGTATAGCCATCCTCTCCTCGTTGTTGCAGATAAAACGTGTGGTACTTATTTGTTTGCGCCGTGGATCCAGGCATCAGCCGGTAGAAAACAACTGGATTCTCCTTGATACCGGAGCTATGGAAAAAACAAACTCGGTTTTAACATTGCACTCAAAAAGGAGTCGGATAAATGATAAGATGTAATAAAATAAAAAGGAGTTTTATTTTATTCAAAAGCTAAGATTTCATTAATTTAGTACTTATCTTATCCTTAAATTAAATAAGAAATTAAAAAAAAATATTTAAATTAAATTACACAATATAAAGGGGGGGGGGCAGATGATTTACCTTTCCAAAGGGTATGAAAGGGGGGGGGCAAAAGAAAAAGAAAACATAATTCATCTTCTTTTTGAGTGTTCTGGTGATTTTTGGTGGATATAAAAAAATCTTGCCTATGCGTCTATTCTGCTGGCTAACTAATTCCTTTTAATCTTTCGGTATTTTATAGGGCTAAATAATTTTAAAAAAGAACGTGTATGTATCTGATGAGTACTGAAGAAACTAAAATATTTAAGGAACAGATAAAAACAGTTACTGTTTCATGAGAAACAATAAGATAACTAGTTTCTTTGATCTATAAAATCTTAATCAACGATGGATATTGTTGGATCATTTAAAGTCAACTATGGATATTGTTGGATCAGTTAAAACATCAAAAATCAAATTTTAAAAAATTGATGCTAAAAAAGAGGTAAAATTAACATCGAGTGCCCAGACCAAAAATCAAAAAAGCATCCAGCTCTATGTGTTCCAAAATTGCCGATAAAAAGCTTTCACTCTTTGGGGTTAACTTCTTAAAGCAAAGAAGCCACGACTGTCAATGAAAAATCTCTGTGCACTGATTCATGGCATGGTCTTTATGAATCGTGATTTTTCAAGTTGACGATAAAATTTCTGTGTTCACAATTGGAATAATTTTGCACAACTTCTGTGCAGTTCATAATTTCTAAAATCAGAAAAGACTATGGAAAAATCATTCAATTCATGATAGACGGTGTTATTTTACATTAGAGTAGGTGCATCTTTGCACAAATTTTACGGCAATTTCGTGACAGGGGGAGGAAGTACAAAAAATCAAAAACACTGTGATGCAGGTCATGCAAAAAGTCTATTCGACGCCTTCCTGACGTTTGGACGTAACTACAGTTCCCGATGAGCCCAGTTGCTCATAGGACTCAATGCTATCCTGAGCTTATATCCAAGTTAAGTTACGTCTTTTTGTCAGCAAAGCGACGAAATTGTACCTTAAGGCCTACCGAACAGATATACTAGCTGTGATAAAATTATCCAGACACAAAAATCGAGCAAAATATTGCAAAAAACAAAATTAAAAACTATACACTGAAAGTGTAATTGCTTTCCTCCAAAAAAGAGCGGAATTTCATGCCATAAAAATAGGTAACTTTCAGAGTGAGGAAAAAATTGATTCTCTATAGAATCAAAACAAAAAACGGCAAAATTTCCGGTAATGCATTCTCAACTGTTTAAAAATGAAGAAAAATCGTGAGAAAACAGAGAGGTGATCGCAAAAAATGAATAATTGAAGTTCAGGAAAAACAAAAAAAATTGCCGAAAAACAAAACTTGGCTTAAAATCTGATGATACTGTCGAAGTAAAAAACAAAGAATATCTTTCCTCAAAATATAGTTGTTCCAAAAAAATTTGATAAATTAAGGCTCGTCAACAGGGATAAGTCTGTTCTCATAAAGAGCATCACTATTTTTCATTTTTATAACTGTTATATATTATATGAAGGCATATAGGAAAGTATGCATTTATTTTGAAACTACAAATAAACGCATTACATACTTACATGATTTTACGAGTTAATAATTTCACAAAAAAAATAAACTCATTGCTCTTCTGAGTATTGAGCAACTCAGAAAATCAACGACTTCCTTTTGAGAGTTCTTATGAGTTCTTATCTTATGAGAGTTCAAAGTAAGCTTCAGAATGTGGAAAGCTCGGATGGGAGGATTTGCACACGAAAATGGTTGGAAAAGTTTGATTAGAATGTTGTTGATGAAAGTGAATTCCAAAAAAATCACACATTTGGCGTAAGTGCTACCAACACCACCATAGGATGAATGATTAATGATGAGATAAATAGCACGATGGAATGAATCCTGAATCATCTCACAAATTTGGATTTGCTGACCAAATCAGAGCGCAATTGGACGATAATTTTAGTACAGTCGAACCTCCATCAGTAAAAAAACTTAATAACTCAAAAAAACATCCATTCCTTTCCATTCAAGGCTAAAAACCTTGATACTTTGAAAAAGTTCCGTAAACTCAAAGGAATTTCAGACTCAACTTTGCCTTTATAACGTCCAAAGGATGGCAAATTACCTCAATAACTTACAGTAATACTTTGCATCTCATAGCGTTACCTCAGACAGAAGCTGAAACTTGCAGGATGCTTCATTATTTTCAAGATAAATATCAAATTTGCAACAGCTGCGGGCAATCAGTGGCCGCCAGTAATCAGTTTGACTGTCCAATAACGGATGGGAAATAAGTGCGCAATGTAAAGCAAAACAGAGTAACTAATTTTTTTAGGGTGAAATTTTTCCTTGCTCTTAGATTTCCATAATAAACCAGCATCCTTCCGGAGTCAGCCTCAGTACCTAACTCGAATTTTTCATCTCCTTATCTCGTTAACTCTAAACTTTAAAGGCTCAAATTTTTCATTGCTTTCCTCCAGCACCGAGTTTTTATTGAAGTTCGACAGTAAAAATTCAAACCAACTATGAATTTTCAGTTTAGTTTTGTCCCATGCATTAAGTGATCTGCTTGTAGTTCTGAAATTTTTGCTGCTGACTTCCCATTTACAGAGAAACATCAATGATAATGTCTAATATTTGTATTTCTTCTAGATAGGTAAAGAAATTTCTACTTTGTTGGTTCATGCTTCTGATCAGTTTATCTAGGATCTATCGCAAACAAATTGAGGAGAGTAGTCTAAACAATTCAACTCAAGCTCTTCAATTAGGTACCTAATTCTAAAAGAAGAAGAGGGAAATTAATACTAAAAATTAAAAAGTAATCGACTGAAAGAAAATGATTGAATGACAGGAATGTTTCCATCAAAATCTTGATCCCTATCTCGGGAGAGATTGGAAAACAGGAGAACTTGGGAGAGGGAGAGAGGGATTAGTGATGTTAGTAAGGGACTGAGAAAATGAGGAAAAAACAAAAACAGATGATTGGCTGACAAAGAGAAAACGTTAGAAAGAGCTACAGCCATCACACCTTCACGGAGGGGCTGGAATGAGAGTGATCAAGCAAGATGTCAAAACGTCACTTTGCTTTTCTTGTGCCGTGCAAAATTCAGTTCAAGACAAAAACAAAAATGGAGGCACAAGGCAAAAAATAAAAAAAAAATGTATAAAAACCACATGGAAAAGTCAAAGAAGACAGACCTGGCTTTAATGGATATAACCTTGGCCCCAACAGCCATGTTCTCTTTAATGTAAATTGGCCCATAAACGACATGATCCCAAACAGGTGGGTTGTTGGCCCGGTCAACAACGTCAATCTGTACCTCGACGGACCGCACCAAAGGTGGGTTACCTTTGTCCTGCGCAGTCGCCTCCAACTTGTATGTCTCGCGCTAGAGTCGAAAAAAACACGATTGAAAACAAAAATTCGGAAGATCAGTTTCGGTTAGTCTTGTTAGTTCGAGAGAGGATCGGAGAGGGCAGGGTCGCTAAGAGATTCAGTTCGGATACCAACCTTGCTTTAACCGTGCTCACGATTGTGCCCACTGTGACATTTTCTTTGATGAGCATGGGGCCGTACACAGCATGGTCCCAATGAGGAGGCTTGTTGTTCCGATCGACAACATCTAATTCTACGTCCACATCTGCAGATGTAATCGGATCGCCCTTATCTGACGCTCTCACTCGGAGCCGGTACTTCTCCCGCTAGTATAACAGGGATGGGCAAACGTGAACTCAAACAAAATAAATAAACAAACGCAAAAACAAACAAACAAACTCATCACTCTGACAGATCTCAGTTCTCTTGTGAATTTTTTCCATTGACTACATACTCTGACCATTTTAAGTGGAAAAGGGTATAGATAGATGTCAACTAGAGAGAGGGTAGGCAAAGACCTACGTTAGCACAGTACAGAGTAGGTTGAAAAACTAATGGTGGGGATTACATAATACTGCAGTCAAAAAGGGCTCAATGAGGGACGTTCTTGTCTGTGCACAACACATTTTGCCTTTAAGAGTTGATACGTATGGAATTAACCAAGTCTTGGATGTCGAATTTCTTAATTATCCAGAAGTGGCGGCTACCATTAAAAATAATATGTCCATAAATGACTCCCGAAATTGTTATCAAAAACACTGAGCGAATTAGTTAACAAAGATAAAATTATCACTTGAAAATTAGGATAAACTTTGAAACAGGTCATCATCTCTCATGGTAACATGAACCTCATTCATTCGAACTTCTTCCTAAAAATAAACGCTGAAGTTGTATTGAATCGGATTTTTCATCTTTGTGAGAAGTCATGCAAATATATTTTGCTGATCATTTGTATTCAATGTTTCATTGGTTACAAAATTTTACAGTTATAGCTGAAAAAGTTTAGGCAAAACATGTTATTAAACAGACACGAATGTTTACAAACTTCAAATAGATCTAAGATGAAAGTAAGCACCAACTTATCAAAATACTTAGAAAAAACACACAAAAGTCAACCTACACAGATAAACAGAGGTAAATTGCCTACAAGCTTTGAAGGGAGCGAGACAGCATAAGTGACTGGTAAACGGGTACAAAGGTGTTAGAAAGATTGAATATATTGGCTGGGAAAAACCGAACAAAAATTGAGGCATAAATGAACTGATTTTAAAATTTCTACGCATTTCCCCATGGTTTTAAAGAGTATTCTCTCAGAATTTTAAGTCAGAATGGTGGTTAATTAGCCAACATCTGATGAAGTCGGGGTGCTTTTAATTAAATCCGTTTATAAATAAATTTATAAATAAATAAATACCTAAAGCACAGGTATCTTCATATTTCTGTGCTTGCTCTACTCAACTTATCTTCAGACTGGGACAGGATGTGAACAATGAACTAAAAACAGCTAATTCCAATAATAATCACAACACGGATCGATGATAAAACTGCAGAGACGTATATCTCATTTTGCGGTGTCTCAAAATCACCAATCCCATTATATTACATCACAGGACAACAAAAAGACGATATTACTTGCGATTTTCACAAAACATACTTCACTTAGAGGAAAAAAATTAGGGGAATCTTCATGTAATGATGTTAAGTGTATTCCTATTTGAAAAATAAATTATGACGAGAAGTCTAAAATCCGCAAACCGAGATACGCATTTTTGCAGCTTTACTATCAAGATGCTTTTTCTTTGGAGTATGCCAGTTTTATTAGAACTGCAGTCTTTCAGAGTAAAATTCTTGAAAGAATGATGCACAAGATTCTTTCTTACCGACTCTTTAATGGAAAAATAAGTAAAATATTTTAAATTTCTCTACTGCCTCTGTGGTTCATGGTTGAAGAATAGCAGCAGGATTCAAGACAATTGAAGTAAAGGGCTAAAAGTGCATCTGCATGATGCGTATGATGGTTAAATGGTCGCTTGACTGGTCTAGATCCTGAACCAGACAAATGTACTCCCCACTATTTGTTAAATGTCGGCTCATATTTATTACTTTAAATTGTTTACGAAAAAAATTGGCTCTAGACTGTATCATAGGATCTTTTCACTTTAGTTCAAAAAGCAAGCGTATCCAAGGCTCATCTATTACTTGCATGGAGATTCGGTTGAAATACAATTTTTTTTTACTTCAAAATTGAAAGCATTATTTACAGCTGAAAAGTTAGCTTAAATCCACATCCTAGTTACAGGGATGCAAAGATTTGAGAATTCACACTATTAGGAGTACATTACAATGAGACAGATTACCCTGTATTTAATTGCAGGACAAAACTCTAGCTGAGAAAGATTACATTCTCAAGGGATCTCTATGTGATGAGAAAAAAACTAATAAGTTACCTACGGAGAAAACAATCAGATTGTTTTTGAGAAGTATTTAGGGAAAAGATTGTACTGTGTAGAGTGCATCCTTCGACAAAAGTACAGGTAAACTTTGGCATGATTTCTTCTACGATTTCTTTTGAAGAGCAAACGTAGGTAAATGTTTGACACATTAGATAAGACCTCTATTCACATATATTTAAGACTTGAGCATCAGTAAAATATTTTCTGATATTCTTCTTTAGAGCATGAAACAGGAGGAAAAAACCACAAATTCAGACGCAAAAGCCGTTAAACAGGATGTTGGAATGGTGGTAGGTCCATACTGTCTAGTGGGAAAAAACAATTCCAATGAATTTTTTAAATTAAAATTAAAGTTTTAAAATGAGAGTGAATGATCCTAAAGAAGCAACTAATTTCTGATGGACATAGACATTACAATTGTTTCTCATTCTCTTTGGGAAGAATGTACCAAAGTTTATCTGTATTATGTGTCGCAGCCAAAATCTGTCAGAGAAATTCATGTAGCCATAGAATCTGTAGGATCGATGACTGTAAAAAACACATGGGTGACGAAGACATTCGGGCAGTGAGATACAAGATTAGGATGCTGAGCTTCAATCTTAAATATAGAAATTTCATGGTTTGACTTAGACCTGGTCCACACACGAGTTTCATGAAACTACTCAGGCAAACTTAGCAGTTTGTTAGTACTACAATTTTTGTTGTTGTTTATAAATGCGCAAATGCAACTAATTTTATTTTCATTAAAACTAATTTTGCTGAACTATGTTAAGTCCTGTGTGGACCAGGATTCGCGATTGGAGAGGACAAGTGTTACGGAATTGTATTTTAATCCTTCCATTACCATGCTTGAGAAATCTCATGTTGCGAGAGGCAAGGCGAGCACTGTGAACAACGTTTGGAAATCCTCTTTTTGCACTGTGCATTTGTATCACCTACTGTAGCTTCCACCTACTTCCGTATAATTATGCATGAAGCATCCGTTAGGAAAAATATGAACTAGAGATATATTTTTAACAAAATGCGCCTCAATCGTGGTGTGTGATTCCTAGTCCGGTAATGGAAGGGATCAAATGATCTTACTTAACAGCAAAAAACATTTAGCTCCCATCCAAGATTACGATTTTATGATCAAACTTTCGAAGATATTGTGCCCTAAAGAATGCAGTGAATTTTAGGGAGTCCTTAATTCTCTTTTATCCTTGAGACATCAATTTGTGGGGAATAAAATTTACAGTTATTTTACACAAACACTCCATTGATTTGACTAAAAGAGAGGAGCAATAAATACATGATGCACTTCAATGTAGACTTTAAAGCTAATGTATCTTGATCAATATTAAAAAGTAAACTTGGCATATTAATGAATTATATAGAATTTGCTCTTCAAGACAGGACTATGAACTTCACACATTTATAAATTGTATAGCAGATCCTAATTTTGTTTTAAAATTAGAGGAATGAATTGTATAAACGCATAAATTCACCACTCATCTTGAGAACAATATGCAGAAAATCCTTTGACTGGCCAATCTTATGACTAAAATATTCGACACATTACATTCTCATGATTTTTTTCACGTCAGTGGCAGTTTTGTAATCTGCAAGTTGTTATATTTTCCAGCATCACTTTCCCAAAGCACACACGGGCGTATACTCAGGGGATATTTTTTCAGTTCTTCATCTTAATTATCAGAGACAGAACTTCAAAACTGAATTGATGCACAAAGCAACATTTTTTAAGAAAAATTTTGTGCCTTCCAAAGCTCAAGAGAAATGTATAGGAAGGATTTATGTTTTAAGAATAATTAAAAGGCAAGCCTTCATCATTCATTGTTACCAAACTAATTAGATTGGTTGCATTGTAACTAAAGATACTCTTCACGCCCAGTTTTCTCCAATTATATTTTGGGATGAAAATTGCAATGAACTCAAATCTTAGATACAAACCAACTTTCGGTAGGAGTTGAAATCAAATTATCACTTGTCAACAACTTTCCTTCACAAGAGCGAACAATACTCGAGTTGATTTTGAATTGCTCTTAGAAAAGGATACTGGAAAAGATTTTTTACGTACACACATTTAAGAAATTCCATTAGTCTTTCAATACTTGTACTGTGCGATAGTGTTTTCAAATCTACGAATTTGTGTTATTCAAGAAAATCACAGTTTACTTACTGGAAAACATCCCTTGAAGTTAAAAAATGTTTCCGCAATTCAAACAAAAAAGAAAGTGGTGCAGTTAAAAGAGATTAGAAAATTAAAAGAGATCAAAAAAAAATTCCAAATAAATCAATACACACAAAAAATAATGAAATAAAATAAGGAAAAACAAAATAAATAAAATTAGTACAGGCATTGAAAGATTATCCATGCAAATGCTTCAATCCAACTATTAAAGTATTTTTTTTTCTCCAAAACCCCCGAAAAACTTCAAAAGAGGAAAAAATTTAAAAACCAACGAACTCAAAAGAAAACTAGGTTTTCTATAAGGGTTGAGTGTTAAAGCAAAGTTCAAAATCATAAAGAAAAATTAAAGGTCAAAAACTTTAAACGGGGAAAAACTGCTGCAATGAGCAAAATTGAGCAAAATTTCACAACTGCTTTTTAAGGCAGTAAGGAGGTAGTTGTGTACGCTGCCCCAAACACAGAAAAAAAATGTCACAAATGCATGAATAAACAAAAACAATCATCAAGTTGGACGTCATGTGGAAGACTCAAAAGTTTAAAAAATCTCTTCCACAGGCGTTTTCTTAGATCTCCTAAAACGGCACTATTATAAAAATGTATTCCTGGCAGAAATTTGTACAAAAAATTGCATTTGAACTGTTTTAAAAAACCAAAATAGTGTGTTTTCTTACACTAAAAAACCTTTATTCATGTATCGACATTCATTGAAGCTGGTTCATTCTTATCTTCTTTGTAAATTTACTGAAAAAATAATTTTTTGATGGAAAAATAGGGCTCTATTGCATGGGAGGAGATGTTGTTTCAATTGGATCGAAATGATTGTTCGAATAATTTTTAAAAACTGAAAGCACCCAGGAGTTTTGTACCACTTAAAAATTTTAGACTTTTCCAACTCTGTGATAGATGCCACAGTTCATAGCACCCGATCGATAAATTTTCAACTAGGTTCAGGGTTTTTTTTTTTAATATTACATTATTTATTGCGATGCCAATTAAAATTAGCAAGTTACAGTTGTCCATAAATGGAATAGTTTGTGTTTGATGCCCCTTATTTAGCAAGGAAAAATCATTACAAAATTTGAGAGAACTGAAGAAAAATCACGGCATGCCATTTTGACTTATTAAAAAATATACAGCGCATTACAAATGACTTGCAATACAAATTTATCGCGATTCTCCTCTTGAAAAAACATCTCCATTGAAAACAAAATAAACAGAGCCTACTTTTAGTTCCGTTTTCAAAAAAAATCATCTTGGAACCAGCTCAGAGTATGCTTCAACAAATCAAGGATCAGCAAAAATGATTCTCTCAACAAAAGAGGGAAAAACTCTTTTGATCAAAGTACAAAAACATGAAACGACATCAAAAAACAAAAATTATCTTTCGATTGAAGGAACAGGTAGGATATTTAATTGCTCACATAGAGTAAAAAACTGTAACTCTATGCGGGAAAAAAACAAAAACAAAAACAAACTTCAAAAATTTCCGAAAAAGATTTTGAAGTTGGACTGATGATAAATCAAAAAGTGCAGTGCTCTGAGACAATAACGTGTAGGATCAAAAAATATAATTGTGCCGTTGACAATAATAATACACATTGTGCCGTTGACAATAATAATAAACATTGTGCAGTAAATTTAGTGAATTGCAAAAAAAAATGAATGTGCACTGAACGGAAAAACCAATGAAGCTAAAATAATAGAAGGTGCTCATAAAAAACTCAGTAACTTTTCAATTGAGAAATTTACGTGGTAAGACTCCAGAATATGTAGCCCTTTTTTCCATTATCGCTGTTAATAATTAGAAACTGAGTTATCTTGGAAAGCGATCTGGATAATGCTTTCCAAAATGTATGAATTAACAAAATTTGCACCGATAATTTTTATATTTCGAAGTTGTACTTTGAACTTCCAATATTTTGACCATTCTGTTTTCTTTGTGAGTGTTTTTTTCTAAACAGCTCAATTTGCACAAAGGTCCTGATATGTCATTATTTATTAGACAAGGTCTAAATTAGAATAAAACATCACATGTTCTCTCCTCAAAATCTTGCATAGATAACAATTCACACTACAGGAAGTTTGGATTTTAGGCAATAAATATTTATAATATTGATCTCAATCGGAAATTAGACTATCTACACAAGAGACGTAATTTGTATTTTTGCCATTTAATAATATTAACTTAGAACAAGTGTGCCTTGTTCAGGATTTGATCTCCAGATTTTCCGATATGTGACTAGATTTACGCATGAAATTTTAAAGAGAGAACATGTCGAGTAGTGCTTTCAATTCATACTTTATCAGGTGGAATTAAAAAACATTCTGAGGGCTGTGCTTCAGACCCGCATTGAAACATTCTTGGGTATTTCCGCTTGAACAGATACAGCCCTTCAGAATGACTTTGCGATTCTATTTCTTAACCAAATTTTAGCCTATTGAAATAGTATGATAGTATTTTCTTTGTAGTCTCCTAGGTTCTGACCTTCTAATATCCTGAAAAAGAATTTGAATTAAGTAATACGAAATGCTGAAAGTCACTTACGTCGAGAGGCTTTTTTAAGACGATCCAACCAGACTCTGGCTGAATTTCAAAGTAGTCCAACTCTTGGGAATCGTATGGTGCGCTCAGTGAGTAAACGATTACACCGTTGTTATCAGCATCTTCATCACTGGCTGATACACGTAAAATATTCGTACCTATGCTAGCATCTTGCTTCACATTTTCCACGTATTTCTAAAAACAAATTTTAAAGAAAATAATGAAGTGACCAACAATTCTGCATTGCGACTTGGAAGTAATGACAAGAAAATTTGAGTAATTGAGTTTAAAGAAAACTCAACATTTTAAGTCTTAAGAACTGTTTTTTTCCTGATAAAATATAGAAATTCGGCAACAAAAGTTGAAAAATAATTATTTCACATGGCATGAAGTATCCGCTAATGTTTTACTACATTGCAGGAAAACTAACCAACAGTTTCTACTGGAATTTTCAGTAACAAAATTGCAAGACGAATTTCGATTCGTTTTTCTTGACGAAAATAAAATATAATCAAAGATTTTTAAACATTGCAAATGAGATATCCATTTTTTGCATTTAATATTCCATAGATCTTTTCCCCAAAAATCAAAGGATGTAAGAGCGCCGTAAATGCATAAATATTGCTGCATTTCAGAGCTAGAGAGTAGTAACTATATAATACTGTACAAGAGAGAAGTATATACTGCTGTCCACAACGAATTGGCCAACTTTATGTAAAATATTTTTTCGTTATTATTTTGATTCACAAAAAAAATAAATCAATTGGAAATGCCATATACTATAGTTTTAGGTGGTATAAAATGCTAAAATCCTTTACTTTTATACAATTTGAAGGTAAAATTATCAGTTTTGGATCGTCTTGAGAAATTCAAAGAGTCTGAAAGATTATTACTTTGATAGTTGAGAGAAAATATAATCTATTGCTTACAAACAAGATAATAATTAATTAAACAAATATTCAAAACAATTCAAAAGCCTTCTCACTTGACGGTCAAAGAGCGGTGGATTATCGTTAACATCTGTGATCTCAACGGTGAATGAACAGACTCCTTCCAATGATGGGTCACCTTGATCAGTCGCTTTGACAGTTACAGATACAAATTTACCGTCATCTCCTTCTCTGTCGAACACCTGAAAAATAAATAAATTGCTGATGTGAGATCCAACAAATATAGGTTTGTAACATGTCTAGAAAGAAGAAACAGGCAATCAGCACACACATTCAAGGATTGGCAGGTTCTATTTTTTACCGGATTCTTGATTATTTCAGATTAGTTGCCATTGTGTGAATGTAAATGCATATGCCAAAGTATTTTAATAATAACTTCTTGGACTATTGAGGAATGAAATAACCCATCTTAACTTGCTCTCAAATATTCAAGCATCCCGCACTGACCCTACTTAGCACCGTTTGTAACATTATATTTAAGAGCATGAGTTTGGTTAGATTACGGTAGAGTTGGTACAGAGGTAGTTTGGTTTTGGTAGAGTTCACGACACCATTATCATCCGCTAAGAACAGTAAAGTACAAAAATAAAAAATAAATAACGATGATTCGATGGATGCTGTATTTGGTGTCAAAACAACATGCGATATATCGCCTCGGTGATGGTATGAAAGACCACGTCACTTGATTTTAATTTTTTTTTATTTTTGTACTTTACTATTTTTAGCAGTTGATAATGGTGTCATGAAACACCAAAACGTCCCGCATAATTTTACGTATGGTGGCTGATTATTTTCATACAGGTGCAAGATATATCATTAAGTGGCAATTAATTGGCAGATGCTTACTGACAATATTTTGTCTGGTTTACCTTATTAGTTGTTACTTCACCACTCTCCTCATTCACTTGGAATTTCGTCCCTTTTTGATTGGGTTGCTGGACAATGGAGTATTTCACCTGACCATTCACACCTTTGTCATCATCTGTGGCTTGAACCTATAAAAAATAAAAAACAGTATCAAAAATAATCCACTAATAATATGTTCCAGGAATAATATGAATTACTTTATCATATGTGTACTATGATGATAAAAATTGTCTATGGAAATCTCATGTTCTCATGAAGAGTTGCAAGTGGTCATCGTAAGAGTGACTATTTAGAAAGAAGAGCGTTCTTGATACTTCATTAAAATTGAATTGTCTATGATTGAGTTCCTACTTGTTAGTGAAAATCATTCCTTTGCCTAACTTGACACTAGTTAATAAGACATATAATTTCCGTTTTTATGAGAGGAATCTCAATTCTTAGTTAAAAAATCAAGCAAAGATAAACGTTGTATTCAACTTCACCACAAAAATTATGACTCTGAACTTCTGAGGTCCTTTAGCACATTGTGTGCATCGAGGCAAAATTATTTGCAGTATTATACACCTGATTTCAACCTAATCTATGAGACCGAGAAAAATCTGGCCCAAAATTACCTTAATCACAGGGCTTCCGTTTGCTGCACCTTCCTCAACCTTAGGATTGTATGTGCCACAGTCTTTGAATACAGGTTTGTTATCGTTCACATCAGTTATGAATACTACGACAACAGCTGTGCTTGTGTGTGTTGTTGATTTGCCACCCTCACAACATGCGCCATCATCAACTGCAGTGACGTTGAGTTCATATTTATCCCGATCCAATGTAATGTTTTTACCGTGAAGTCGAATTACACCAGTGATCTCTTCGATGACAAACTGGCCTGAGGAAGTGCCGCCTCCGACAAATCCGAATCTGAGGAAAAGAGTGACAAATTATTTCTAGTATCTTCAAGGAATTATATGGAATCTATGATTTCCATTGCGTATCTTTACTGCAAATCTTAGGTTTGGAATAAGAAAGTTGGTAATGTTCTTTCATGAATAATGTTTTCCTCTCAAATATTACTTTGTTTTCAAAGAAAGAGTTTGAATTGAGGCGTTTGGTGGTGCGCCTTCTTGGTTGCAATTTTTCAAAATCTCTACTAATATTTTATTTATTGTAATGAAAATGAACACATGCGTTTTATTAAATTTTTACTGAACATTTTTCATGATTTCACGATGCTCTACAGGAAAAATTCTAGACAAATCACCCAATAGATTCTTCTCTGAAACAAAAATTATAGTGATGAAGATTCTGAGACACCTCTTAAACCTCAATTCATGATTTCACAATGTTCTGCAGAAATTTTTTTGGAAAAATCATCCCCCAAATTCTTTAATGAATAATGCATGATATACAGAAGAGTGAAAATCTTCGATTACTTTGCTGTGTTTGGACCTGCTCCAAGCCATTTACGTTACATGTTTTACTGTTGTGACCAAATGAAGCCTACAAAGAAGCATGACATGTAAAATTTTGCCTGTCTTTGAAAGAAAAAATTATATACATACTTCACGCTATCGCCATCTTTATCCGATGCCACGACAGTGGTCACCAAAGTATTAGGGCCAGCATTCTCATCGACGTTTGGTGTATAAACTTGCTGCGAAAACTTCGGCTCTTCATCATTCTTGTTCTTGGTGTAAATCCTAACGGTAGTTGTGCCAGTTTTGGGCGGTTCACCTGAAATAAAATGGTAGAAAATGAAGGGAATCTCTAAAGTGAAGGACTGAGAGGATTTAAAAAAAGTTTGACACATGGTGGTTTACATCCCTCCAAAAGAATCACAAAAATTATCCAAATCTTCTTGAAATAATAGGGTGAAAATTGTCACATCATAACATACGCTTTATTGGAATGGATTCAGTTAACATTTTTTTTCTTCTAATGCAAAACTGGGATTCTATTATGTTATATTTTTCAACTTTATTTTGTTTGCTGAAGATTTGTGGTTTGTAGCCTGAAATGCATTCAAAGGAATAAAAAATAAACTAAATTCGTTCCAAAACAAAAAGAGTGTTATGGTGTGACAATTTTTACCTTATTTTGTAGGTAATTTTTTAATCATTTGCCAACTGCGATTTAAAAGTGAAATTTTTTTTGGTCCCCTTTAAAATTTGTTTGCACTTTCAAAGAGAGAATTGGACGGATTTCTTTGGAATCAACCCAACTACATCAATGAGCTGATTATTGAAATTGATTGACAAAGCCGTTGACAAAGAAGATTAAGGAGAATGGAGCAATCCTATGGGTTGAAACAAGTGGTTGTTACAGACTAGAGGGGAATATGATGAACTAACCACGGGGTTTCTCGTGGGTCGCTGTTAAAAAGTCCAATTCTTACCTTCTTTGCCCCTTGCAACCAGCCACTGCCAACAATAGGATCACTACTTTTCCCTTCATCTTCTTTGTCTATCGATTTCAAATATCAGCCAATGGACTTTGCCTAATTTTTTTCTCATGCATTAGTTTTTTAAACACAGAAATAAACTACTTGACGTCTTTGAACTTCCTGTGAAATTACCCTGGATTAAAAAGAATACATATATAAAATTTCGGGTTTCGGTGCTGCTTAGTTATCTGTCCATGAACATGAAATGCAGTTTGGCTGATTCCGGATAAATCTAAAAGTTTATCAGTTCAAAACATAGGTACCTAACAGCTTAAAACTTTGAATGGTGTCTTCTTACAAATTTTTTGTTGCATTACAAATTCGAAGCCATCGTAACTCTGGTTTGGTTTGACTTTTTCATTCATTTTCCTGTGCCAAAATGTTATGCCTATCACTCCTCTGAGCAGTGGGATCAATAAATAGTTGTTCAACTCTTCAGTGCTGGAAGCCAATCCCTTCGGTCAGAAAATCTCTTCACATATGGTTAACATTTCCTCAAAAATAAAGTTTTTCCCTCCCAATTTCTACAACATACAAACCTCTGTCTTTGGCTGTGACAACAAATTCATAGTAGGCATTGTTGTTGTCAGCGTCCAACTGTTTGCTGTTGCTGACGACTCCACTTGAATCGACGATGAAGTGACTGTCTGAGACTTGGTACTCGATTTCAGAGTTTGAGCCTGAGTCCGAGTCTGTAGCTTTGACCCTCAATATAGAGGTTCCCAAGGGAATATCTTCATCTATGTTGTGCGCCTGGTAGTCTGGTAGTTCAAATTTAGGAGCGTTGTCATTCACGTCGGTCACTTTGATCGTTAACTGAAACAAATTGATGATATAAGTTAATATAGTTTAATTTATTTCTGGTACTTTCATGACCATGAGGTCTACGTCTCAGATGAGGGAACAGGTGGAAAACTAGATTTACTTACATCGAGATGGGACAATTTAATAGGTACCTGTCCTTCCCGTGAGTGAGCAGAGCTTAACATAATGAAGTATACTTAAAGTAACAGTAAAAAAAACCTGGTCTATTCATTTAGTTATATTTTGGAACTCCTGCATGTATTTCTCTTCAGAGAAACATTAAAGTTAAAAAGTCAATGGCAGACTTATCAGGCAAATAGTTGGGAGCTGGTATTGGGACAACATTCTTCCTCACAAGGACAAAAAACCGAATTAAGAATTTCAATGGAACATTTGACTGATTCTCTTTTTGCCAAAAAAGAAAGAAAATAAGCCAGAGATAACATTTGAGATATCACAACTGTTACCTAGGTCTTTAGCTGGTAAGATGTTTTCATGTTTGTAGGTATAAAAAAAAATGTGATTTTTGTCGGGCGTGGATGGATAGAATCTATGCCAACTCAGTTTACGCACTTTTAGACTGCAATAGAAGATTTGCCACCCTGATTCCTGCATTCACATTTCATGCAAAAATGAAAGTATTTCTATCAAACAGAACTAAGCGCCACAGGGGAGGAAGAGAGAGGGCGGCTTGGATTGGCGAGTGTTGCGGAACGTGAAGCTTGTTCCGTCCTACACTCGCAATGCTTTTCCGTGGCGCTTAGTTCCGTTTGACAGAACGCGCTATCCGGGATTCCAAAATCCTCAAAAGAAACTCAATTTGGTGCTTAGTTCCGTTAAACAGAAATACATCCAAATGGTGTTGGGCAATTTTCTGTCGCAGTCAGGAGGTGTGAAAACTTATTTGGCATGGACTCTAAACTTGTTTGATATTGAATTTAGATTTCCAGCAACCTTGACTGAATACACTCTAGGTAAGTGGTTTCTCGATAACTGGAATAGTTTTGTCGCCGTAACAGACAACACATTTTTCTGTCATATATTTGGTAGTAATGATAATCACTCGAATTTTTTTGCATTTATCTACTTAGGGTTATGTGTTACAACGCTTTTCAAAGATGTATCGCCCTCCTTTTCAATTTTAATATATAAATTGCTGAAAATGTGCTGTCTGTTACGCTGACTTTTTATCGCGTAACAGACAGGACATTTTCAGAATTGACATAATGTTAATTGAGAAGTGGAGCAATAAATCATTAGAAAGCGCAATAATGCGTAACCTTATTAAGATTAATGCGAAAAAATTCGAGTGATCGTCATTTCTACTAAAAATATGACCGAAAAATGTATTGTCTGCTACGGCGACAAAACTATTCCAGTTATCGAGAAACCATCCAGGTACTTTCAGGAACGAATCATATTTCCTGGGCCCATTGACTTACAGTTCTTTATAAAACAATATAATTCTGGGTTTCTCAGTGTGACTGATTTTTGTACAGTTTTCCATTGATATTGATAAGTAAACGATGAATGACAACAGTCATGTAAAATCTGTTACTTCGAGCGTCCACCTTACCTCGACTGATGTTGAGAAGCCTCCAGAATCCTCAGTTGCTGTGACAATGAGAGAGTAAACGTGTGGTTGACGCAGGTCCTCAAAATCCAACTCTTTGGCAAGTTTGACAATCCCCGTTGTTGGACCAATGTTAAATGTTCCTGCTCCTTGGCCTTGTGCTTTCAATGTGTATCGAATTTCTCGATCCGCAAAGGATTTAGCCTTGACGGAAATGATGCTAAAGACAAAGAATAGTTATGTGAGTATGTGCATCTTGACGGAAATGTATTATAAAATATCCTTACTGCCTTATGATGATGAGAAGTGAGCTGAACAACATTTCAGCTCTTTCAGTGCTGTTACAAAAGACTGAGGGCCTGATGTAACAAACTTGTCACTCTTCATATTTTTAGCTTCAAAGCCGAACGAACAGAATGAATGTTACTTAAATTCACAGATTCGTTATCACACTCGACTCGAACGATTTTGCATGTTTACTTCGAAATGACAGGAAATGCAGGAAATCCTTAGCGAATTTCCGTTTCCCGCATATTTCCCGCGTGTGTTATGTTTACAAAATTAAAGTTGGTTACGATCAAAAGGTAGCGCTAGCTGCTTCAAAGCGGGAATTTCAAATGTGCGGGATTTATCTCGTGAGCATATGAATGACATTTTGCAAAAAAGACCAAAGAAAATAGCAACGTTGCAAGATTTTTTAAATTATTCTTTTTAGTAGATATCAACTTAAAGCTCATCCACATACTAGAGCAATGCAGAGTAATTTGCTAATTTAAGTTTCAACTGACCAAAATATTTAGATTTCTTGCTAGATTAGGAAAAATTGCACGATCTCAGAACGTTGCAATATTCTTAGTTCCTTTTCGCAAAATGTGATCCATGTTCGAGCATGTATGATGAAAGCTGAATTCAAAAATCAACAAGACTGATAGGAACATGTTTTGGCCATGAATTACAATAATGACCAAAGTCTATTCTGCCGTGCTAAGGAAAACCGCCGTATGAACATTCGAGAATGGCCACATTTCCTTCAATAAAATGTTTATTTTTGAGGAAATTTATGAATATCTTTCCTTGAAATTTTTAGTCGTTTTAGATCAAATTACGAACAAAATTATCTGAGAAATCTTTATAAAAATTTTCCGGAAAACTAGTGATTTACCAGGGGATATTTGGCAACGCCTGAAGGTTCATACGGCGTTTATCCTTAGCATGACATTATTGTTGGATACTTACTCTGAGTCTTTCCTCTGGTTTTCGGGTATTTCTGCCTCGTATTTGGACATGTAAAACTGCGGGGCCCTTTTCCCTCCGACGATAGAGAGTCGTTCCTCCTCCGTGGATTGGAATTTTCGGTCGTCCAGACGTCCATTCTGGTCCTCGGCCTTCACGTACAACACGTACTCCATATCCAACTGAAACGGATCTGCGCTTTTCGTCCGAACAACACCAGAACGTTCGTCCACTTCGAATCTTCCTCCAGCTGAAAATTAGAAACCTTCGCTTAGTATAAAACTTACAAAAACTAGGTTGCTCGACACGCTTAGCACCCAATGCCCAGGAACTAAAGGGCTTGGAAGACAAGTGCATAAGTGAAGTTTAGGAACAAAGGTTGATAATTCATAGTATTTACGACGTAATTTTGATGTAAACTTCCAACAGAAAAAAATAACTAAGTATCCTAGAGAGGATATGTGTATATCGAGATTAAATCTTACCTTGCGATCGCAAGCAACCGCTTAAAGTACGAGTAAAAAGGAGGACTTTTGGGAAACACTCATTTTGAAGTGTATAATCGTTGTTAAAAAATTCAGCTTTTTTCCAGTTTGTTTCACTAAACGCCCTTATTTTCCATCCGTTGACTGGACTACAGAGACCCGATTTCGATTACAAAATCATTCAAGAAGAAGAATGCATAAGATTTTGCTTGTACGTGAAATGAACGCGCGATCCACACTCGCATTCAACCAATACTGAAAGAGAAAACCAACTTCCTAACCATTAACATTGGGCCATGCAACTCTTCTGCATATGATAAAAATCTTTCAAAGACAAGTATTGATATAAAATTAAATAAAAAAAAAAAAAAAAAACTTTCGTGTGGTCATAACTTTAGAAGATGTTTGAGTACAGAACCAAAAGGAGAAGAATCTATTTGTAAAATACATAGTTAGAAAGTTGCCATTCTTTTCTTTTTCATTATTGGCTTGAATGCGAGTGCTGTTCGCGCCTTCATTTCACGCACAAGCAAAATCTCATGCATGCAGTTCTTCTTTAATGACTATTTAATCAAAATCAAGTCTTTGATGCTTTGATGGTACTTTAAACGGTTTTTTTGTATAATAATACTCCTCTGTTTCTTAGGAGCATGAGAAACCTTTTGAAACTAAAAGAAAGTTCAAGGAGAGCAATTTCTCAACTAAGCATCGATCGATCCTTCAAATTGGCAAATAGGGAATCAAGAAAGGAAGACAGTGAGAATGAGGGGATGCGGGGGCGGAGATGGGGGGATGGGGGGGGGGGGGGGGGGGGGGGGGGGGGGGGGGGGGGGGGGGGTGTTATTGCGAAGCGCGGAAAAATGATTAATTTCCTCGCCTTTATCTTTTTCTGCTTCTTTACTTCTGACTTGGGCAAACTTTTCGAATAAATTAACAATTCCGTCGTTTTTTCATAAACAAGTTTTCGCCTGCCTCCTCCATTCCGCTTTAACAGCTACTTACGGCGGAGCATCCGTCGGAAAAGGTGGAAGATGAGAATGCAATGACTAGACAAAAGAGGTGGAAGCGATTTATCGACGAAAGATGGGGGAGCTCAGGTAATAGCATTTAAAAATTGTTTGCGGACTTTTTTTCCCCTCATTGTTTTCCCTTTTTCTTTTCCTTTCTTTTTATTTTTATTCGTCTTTGCACCGTGGAAGAATAACTTTCCCTCCTCCAGCTCTTAGTTGCCAGATTTTGCTGAAAATTGGCGATATTTTCATAATACTTAACGTAAAAAGGCCGATTATCAGCACAATTTGGCAACCGTGCTCCAGCTCCTCTATATTGATTGTTTAAAAATGACGGGTTCGCCTTGAAGGTTTGGCTGGAACTTTTTCTGCAAGGCCGAGAACTTTAAACTAACTATATTTTGCGATTGAGACTACTTTTTTTGGTTCACTTAAGGAACAGTATATATGCCATAAGATTCTCAGTGTAGATAGGAGCTTTAATGGACGTGCCTGAAATAGTATATGGAGCTCCAAACCACGTATCTCGTTTGGAGCGTTTGAAAATCTCCTCTCCCCCCTTTATTATTTTGAGGAGGAACAAAACAATATCATACCTTAAAGTTTTCATATATTGACGTCGAGTGGTTTTGCATTTAAAAAGTAAAATATGGCAGGAAATATGCAACATCGCAAACCGAGATACGTACGTCGTCTGGTAGTTTTACCGTCGATATGTATTTCGTTACTGCAAAATGTCGTCCAAATGTAGGTAATTTTCGGTTCAAATGTAAGAAAAAAAGAGATTTGTAATTTTTTATTCATAAAAACCCTCTTTTTATGACATATCCAAGTTGTCTCTTAGGGCGTAGCAGGCTGATTTTAATGTTTTTGAGTCGTCCATAAAACCCCCTATCTGATAAGAGAACTGTTGGTACACAAAATGTTTCTAAAATGAGCCATAAATAGTGGTTCCATAAAAATCGGGCCCTTCCAATGGTTTCATCACGCGTGCGCGTAGATACATATGTCGACGGCAATTAGTTAAATCAGGCATTTTTTCAAATGCTTAGGCCGGTAGTCAAATTTTGACAGTTTACGGAAATCTGTAAATTTATGGCGAGGAGTTCACGGGTTTTCAATGTTTTGGGAAGAATATCTCTTTAAATCCGCGGACTCTCCTTGTTCCGTCCTTTTCAAATGCCTCTCGTACTTTTAAATGCTAAAATTTTAAAAATTCTATGTTTTACGAAAAGCTGAAAATTCCAAGATAAACGTGTGTTCAGGAACTAAAAATAATTTAAAATACCACTGTATGGTGCATATTTTTACAGAGAATTCTTCCTTACAGGAGGAACTAATTATATTTTCTAAAATGTGGGAAATGATCAGAATTTCAATCTAAGTAAGAATATTTGACTATCTGCCCACGCATCTGACAAAATGCTTGATTGGACTATTTGCCCACGCATTTGACAAAATGCTTGATTCGACTATTTGCCTTCGACATATATATCGTCACTCCTCTAACGTAAGGGCATATCTCGATTTCTGGATGAGCCCCGAAAAGCATGGATTTATGTATGAAACGGAGCTCACGTGGAAAATGAGATACGCCCTTACGTCAGAAGAGCAAAGATATGGCAACCTACGGGTTACACTCAACTATCCTCCAAAGATAGAAGGGAGTGCTGCGAGACGATTCTGCTGTGTTACGGAAAAGAACCGTAAGTGCTTTTCTGTACGAGCCATGGTTAGCACGTGTTCTTATGCGTTTCGAGGTTCATCCCGGACTCCACCTGCGGCAGGATTCCCGTGCCTATTCTGGATCGCTCTCGACTTGGCTCGGCTTGACATTTAAAAACGAGCCATAATTTTCCCTCGCTCGAGTTTAAAGCAGAAAACGTACGAGTTGATACGAGCAAAATAAGTCAAAGGGCACGCACCGGAAAAAACGGTGGGGGCACGGGAGGGGGGGATTGACCGTTTACCGCCAAGCTTTCGTGATTTATCCCTCCTTGAACTTCACATGGACACGATTACGACCAAAAGGACATAAGTCAACGTTCCCGTGTGTGATTCAGTATTTAGGTGATATTTTGTGATCGGAGACTCACGCCGAAAAATTTTGATGCGGATCTGTCTTAGAGCTTTCCTTATATGACAATTTCAAACTTATTTGGCCAAAACACTGTATTTTAATGTACATACAGTATACACTGTATTTTAATTTTTTGTTGTAAATACAGTGTTTTGGCTAAATAAGTATTTTAATGCACTTACAGTATACACTGTATTTTAATGTTTTGTTGTAAATAAAGTGTTTCGGCTAAATAAATTTGGAATTGTTACCAAAAATGACACATAAATGCAAACGCATTTAAATGGAACCGAAATCAGCTTAACTACTTTCGACGTAGTCTAATTTCTTCTCATAATTTATGTTTTTCCCAGAAAACAAAGCAACGTCCTGACTTGACATTTTGAAAGTGTATTCTTCATAATTTAAAGACATTTCAGAGAAAGTTTCAAGTCGTTATGTTGTTTTGTTCCCAGGTTTGAAAAATGGAACATGATAGGAAGTTAGGCAAAGTGAAGTGAGTGAATTCTGAAACATTCATGAAAAGTTGTCAAAACTGTGTTTCTTCAGTTCGCCTCCTACAAATTGAATCGACAAATTGTGAAATTTAATGTGTGAAACATGGATCAATTGTTTGTCTAATTTTATTATCCGAGCAGTGGCTTGGTAACTTCACTATTTCTCATTAGGGATCACACTAAGATCATAGAGCTTTCATTGACATTTTCTAAGCGAAATTTAGGTTTAATTAAGGTGAAATTGAGAGCAAAGAATGAGTGCCATTCTTCCACGTCGGTGTCGGTGCCTTCCATTAAATTATTTCTGCTCATTATTAGAGTCTCAACAGTCCTGGTCCCCAAAAAAGTCCGTTAAACCACATCACAATGGATCTATAAAGACGACGGTCGGATATTACTCCCAAGAGCAGGATGCACGACATTTCGCATAAATTAATTTCCATAGAAGTTCATTCGGTAAGCGACTAACTCCGCCACAGTATGTCGCAACGCGATTTAATTAATTACTTTCGGGAGTGCGACACAGCTAAATTATATTCGCAGAATTCTGCATAACCAGAGATGTGTCGTACGTTCTCAACTAGTGGGTCATTTTAATCAATAGTTGATGAGCTCAGAGCCGGACAGGGGTAATAAAAAAAAATTCCCTTGATTAATGTAAGCTCTGATGGATCCTAGAGGCAACTCTAATAACCGTAAGTACTAATAAGTGAATACATGTATGCGCGGGGCATGATATATGATGGAGCTGGCGCTAAATTTTTAACCTAATCAATTTATAGCGTGCTATGGTGGTATTTTTTCCTTTCGCTGGCATGCGGGCGACCTAACTACTTTATTTATGACGGAAACAAGAAAAAATGAAAATATTTCGTCGGTACAACTTTTTCTGCATAGTGCAAGTAATGTAAACAGATAGACGTCAAATCATTTATTGGCGCGTATTTTTCTTTTCATCATCATTATTTCGAATTTGTGGGCAGGTGATCACTTTGCATAGTTTCAAAAAGTGTATGGTCAAAGTGAGATTAAAGTAGGTGGAAATTAACTAAATTTGCAATAAGGCCCTGGTGTAAATTGGCAGTAGAATCTGTGTTCCAAAATACCATAGACCTAAAGCCGGCTGTAAGATTTCCAATAGCTTCTATAGCCGGCTGTACAATTTCTTATAGCCTTTTATAGCCGATGGCGATTAAGCAGCAGCCAGACGATAAAGTTTATACTAAACGTTATACTAAATACGGATACTAGGACTGAGTTAGTTTTTGGACTACCGCTCTCTTTTTGTGCTGTAGTATCTTGATTTATTTTGCGAGGAAAGCTCCATACTTTTGAAGGATGCCTGCCATTCCTAATATATTAGAGTGCCTTCAGTTTCGTATGATGCTGTACAATACCTCTGGTATGAAATAGTTGCTTCAGACGCCGTGGCATGCTGCGGCGTGGTGGGCGGGCAGAGAGCGCGAATCGCGCATTGGCGCCTACAAACCTAACAGGGATACTTCACGCATTGCGCAATGCGTGAAGTATCCCTGTTAGGTTTGTAGGCGCCAGTGCGTCGCCGCTCCGCTTTGTGTTAAGCTCTAATCAGTGTTTTTCAACTCATGATTTTGAAATGTTTGCACACTCTGTATGGATTATTCTCATTTTAATTGATGAAAAAAAATATGTTTTATAGGAAAATATAACGTGTGTTTTGTAAATATTCAGGTAGTTCTATATCAAACTTAATGATTTCCAAAGCACACGAATTTCTACACAATTTCTCATGGCCTTTTATAGCCAATGGCGATAAAGTGTAAAGCCCGGCAATGGGAACTATAGCTCGACTGTATAATTTTTTATAGCTTCGTATAGCCCGGCTATATGATTTGCTCCGCTTTCCACAGCCAGCTATATGATTTTCAACAGCCTTCTTTACTTGGCTATAAGAACTCCTGTGGTATTTTGAAACGCAGCTCCTATCGCCAATTTTTACCAGGAGGAAGTATTTTTTTTTTGCTCATATGCCTAACGATAACCTAGCATGAAAATGAGAAGCACCCTTTTAATGTAATTGAATCATTCGACATCGGGCGATTTTTAATCATCCAAACGAACTCTAGGAGTCTTTCGGACGATTGTAGTGATAATTTCAGAAAGATCGGAAGCTTCTGTCAATAAAAGTTTCCGGTCAGATGCTTCTGAGCCCTTTTTCTCAGAACTTCATTTTTGCACTTACTGCTCTCTTCGCTATCACGGCGCAGTATAGTTGCAACGTCCAACTGGATAACTATAAACTATTTGGATTCATGATGATAGGCTGTGGGACTTACTTCTGTCGCGGACCATGAAGTAGTGGATGTTGTGGTCGGTGTCGGGATCGCGGGCCTGGAGCGTGAAGACGGGCGTGTTGGGCGGGGCGTTGAGCTGGACGACGGCCTGCATCGGCAGTGGTCGGTTGATGAAGTACGGGGGCTCATCGTTCACGTCCTTTACGTGGATGATCACGCGCTGGTTGTCCGAATCTGAAAACAAACAACAAGAACATGAAATCACTAACTGATGCAAAGACAACGAAGGGAGCTATGTCATTCATTAGCAGAAGTAGCAAAATATTCATAGCCAGGTTATTATTTGCTAACGTTGGACACGCAGCACAATGAACACAATATACATGGACGTATTGCTGCCAAACGGAGCTATGTGCATTAATACACGAGCCCTGGGACCCATTAGAATATATGGATAACAGGAGGATATATATGGATATACATGGTTGCAGTGAGTTCCGTTTGGCAAAAATACGCCTGGATGATATCCAGAGGTTTCCGTTGTGCACGGACACATCACAAACGTTAATGCGAGCGAGCAAATAGATTTTCCTTCATAATACTGATTATGCAATTTCAGCGACATCAGAGTCGAAACAATTGTAACACGCGTTTAAGTGCACAAGTCTCCGGTCGCCACAGAAAATCGGGGGAAAAATCAGGGAATGAGCAATTGAGCATGGTCAAGAATTCTAGACACCATAGTTTGAGTAGATCCATAACATAGCATCACGAGAAGAACAATGTTTGAAAATTTCGATTAAACTTCAATAGTAACTCTGGAAAGTACTACTCTGGTAGACTCTGGAAATAATTCCTTACGAGAAATTACACTGATTTGCCCTGCAAAGAAAGACAGATGAAAATATATTCAGAGTTTTGAAACCTTTAAGGTAAGTTTGCACCTACCCTAAGTTTTTCAAAATCAAAGAATTCTTCATCTATATTTCGTCCTCTTTTGCCGTGATTGCAATCCCTCATAAGGATCCATTTCCCGAGTTTCACTATGTTGAATTTTATGCAAAGTTAGGAAAACTTGCCCTTTTTATGATGCTATAAGTATTAAGGATCTCCTTAAACCTACCTTAATCACAATGAAAACCATACGGGTTTTCCGAAGGAATAGAGCTAGTTCAGGAACGACTATAAATACGACCCTTATACTGCCGTGCTGAGGAAGCACGCCAGATGAGCCTTCAGACGTTGCCAAGTTTCCTCCGACAAAAACCGAAATTACTGAGAAAATTGTGAACATTATTCTCAAAAAATTTCAGGTAATTTAGTACGCAATTTAATCTAAAATATCTGAAAATTTCAAGGAAAAATATGCATGAATGTTGTCAAAATTACATTTTTTATCGGGCAAAATTTGGCAACTCTCGAATGTTCATACGGCGTTCTTCCTTACCACGGCAGCGGGCCGATTATTGAAACTGATAGACAAAGCTATAGACAAAGACGACAAAAGAGATATGGAGGGATCCTATTGGTGGAAGCAGGTGGTGGCAATGGACATAGGAGATAGGCAATGGACTAACTAACGGCAACCCACCGAAGACCCGACAGTTAGTCCATCATTTTCTTCCTTAGTCTATAAGAACCAACCATGCCAACCGATAAGATCGCTCTATACTCCCTATGTCTTCTTTCTCTATCGCTTTGTCTATCAGTTTCAATAATCGGCCCGCTCTGCAGAGCTTGATCTTCAGCTATGAGCTGGAGAAGTACAGTCATTCATCCCGATTACCAACGAAGCGGCAGCCGTGTAAATCCATCAACGATGCCAGATCCCTTAAAAACCGACGAATTCTCCGAGTAATTGGACGTGTTTCTATCAAACGGAACTATGTGCATTAAGACATGAGCCTTGAGACCCATAAGAATACGTGTATAACAGGGCTCATGTCGTAATGCACATAGTTCCGTTTGATAGAAATACGTCCAATTGAAGGCGAAACCGGAGAGGGGTTCCAGGTCGGAGCAACGAGGCTGGCAATTGGTCCATTGAGATGCAAAATAGGTCACTGGCGGACCGCGACGCTATGCGATGCGGCGATAGAGGGCGCACTAAAAGGTGCTAAGTAAGCTGTTTGCATAATCACTTCCTTCGGGTGTGAAAAGAAAGAATGGGGGTTGGCTGGGCATTATGCAAATACACTCCCAGCTTCCGATCCGACCGGACCCCCATGGACGGGGGGAGCCGAGGGGGGAGGGGTTCGGAGTGCAGTCCACCCCTCGCACTAGTTATCACACCGTACGTGTCGGGTCCAATTAACTTCTTGTGAAAGAATGCGCTGCGTCGGTAAGAGGTAAGGGGTTGAGTAAACAGCAGATGATGTATACAGCCTGTTCGCAATAGATATGGATGGTGAAATGGACCCCATGTTCGCAGAAGAAGAGAAGCATATCAGCAGGGGCTGGTGATTGAACTGATCGAAAAACGTCTCAAATTAAGGGGCTGACAGCAACTATTTTAACTTCTGGGAGCGCTAATTGCCTAATCGAGTAATTGAAGGCGCAACGAGGAGCTATTCTTTTAATACAGCAGATGCTAGTTTTCTTTTTACAATGGTTGATTTCGAACCCTATCAAGTGGCTCACTTTAATATATTTTCGCAAGACGGCAGGATCATTACAGAAATCGATAGACAAAGCAAGTATTTATGCCGAAATTATGGAGAATTTTTCGATTGCTTTAAAATAAATATATGTCCACAAAAATTCAAATCGATTCCGCAAACTTGCGGTGGGGCAATTAAGCTTGGGGCAATTAAAGCACAAGATGAATTTCAAAAGAATAGGAAAGAAGGAAAACCTACGCTGTCGCAAAGTTGTACTCAAAAATTTACAAGGCCGAATTCCATGTTTTCTTAGATGTCGATGGATTCTCTCTAGATAGGCCCGCCTCTAAAAAAGTTTTGAAAGTTTTGAAAAGTTTGAGTCCCAGTACAGTTTTTTTTCAATTCAGCGAAGGGCTCTTCTAAAATCGCGGAGCACCGAGGTTTGGGTCGCTTGGCGGATCAAGCAAATTGGCAACATTGTTTTCCTCCATTTAAACCTACAGAAATGTTTCGATTCCTAAAGGAGGCAGGTACTCCGACAAGAATCGATTATTTGGACTACATTTTGCAATTTGGAACTATAAATTCTAGACCGGTTTAAAAACAACGTATATTCCATTAGTTTCTCTATGCACAAAAATGTTTTCCCAGAAGAGCCAGAATTTATAGTTCCAAATTGCAAAATGCAGTCCATTTATCATAGGTTTAAATGTAGGAAAACGATGTTGCCAATTTGGTGGATCCGCCTTTGCCAGGAAGAACCCTCTAGTTCCAGATATTTGATCCGACTTTAAAGCACCCTGTGCGAGGGGAGGTATGAAACCCCTCCGCGTAGGGGAAGCGGAGCCCATCCCTTCATCCCTAAACCTTGAGAGGGGGAGCGAGGGATAGCATACCGCACGTGGATCCTTCTGGTGACCTATTAATATTGAACTTAAAAGTCCGGCCGGCGCTTGGAAACTTGTTAACACTCCGCGGAGTGCACAACATAAAAAGGCATGACCTGGCTCCTTGCACGAGTTGCACCCGAGGGCTCTAATAAAGGCTCCCGAGTCAGGTCCAAAGGATTAAGGGATCGACCTTTTTCCGCCAGGTTGAGCACACGAGAGAGAAAATGAGGTGGCCGACCATTAGCTGTTATTGTGATGCGCTTCCTTCCGTTGCTTGCTTGTTGATCGTCCGATTATGACTTCGGGTCATAAACTGAGAAAAAAATTCGAGCATAATGCACCGTATTACTGTCATCTGTATCGACACGGATGTTTGGATTAAGTTAAGCGAAACCGTCACATCTACATTGCGATATTTCAGAATCTCATTCCCTATTTTGATTTTTTGGAAGGAGACCAACTGACGTCCCTACACTACATGAAGAATTATTCTTAAGCATATGAAATATACTGCCAAAAAACTTTAAGCGAAAATTTTGGTCGCTTTCCATCCAAAAAATTAACATAGGCGATTAGATTTTGAAACACCGCGATAAAGATGTGATTGTTTTGCTTAACTCGATCTATTTGGTTCATAAAACCGTATACTTTCTACAGGCAAGAACTCAATTGTATTCAAATGTTTGAGCATTTCCATTCCCTCATCCTACCATGCTAAGGAGGAACGTCTTAAGAGCACTGCAGGAAAAATATGCTAAATTTTCCAAAAAATGAGTATTTTATTGAGGATTTGGCAATACCCGAAAGATCATACGATGTTCTTCAACAGCACGGAAGAATTGAAAAACTTACTGAGAGATGTTTAGAGTGAGTCTTTCGGTAAATTTCACTGGTTTTTCCCATGATTACTGCTGTTCTAATGTAAAACGTCGTATGAGTCTCTAGATGTTGCGAAACATAAAATACAAATATTTTGAGAAATTTTCAATATTTTTTCTTTCGATTTTTCAAATATATTGTTTGCAATTCAATTCAAATTTTCTGAAAATTCCGGGAAACATGGAATGACTTCCTGTCATCCTTTAATTTTTCTTTGAAATCGAGTGAACGTAATTTCTTGAAAAATTCCTTGATTTCTCTTCTCTCTTCGGAGAATATTCTGTGCCAATTCTACGCTGTGAAGTTGTCTTCCTTATTTTCGAAGACATAAAATATGAGCGGAAATTTTGAGAACCCGCGATGAAGATACGCTCTTGGGCCGCGATGAAGATTCGGAGTTTCGCTCTTTCGCCGTCAATGAGCTCTCCTAAAACTCCGATTACAGGTCACGGAAAAAATACTTAACGCTGAGCCCTGACACTTTAGGTAAATTAGCGGTAAGTAAAGGCAGTAAGGCTGGACCCAGGACCCTAAAGCTGTAGGACTCAGCACTACTGCCTTTAGTTGGCGCTATTTTACTTGAAGTGTCACGGCTCAGCGCTAAGTTATTTTTTCCGTGATACCTCTTTCGCATAAATGTACTTTTAACACCCCTCCCATTCCCAGTGAAGTTCTCCCGGGAACCAGGCAACTTGGAGGCGGAACACACCGGTTCCCGGAGCTCCAAAACTTGCAGCATCATAGGTCATAATTGCCCGATTTGCTTGAAAAATGGTGTGATCACCATACGCGCCCCACACCACATACGTTGTTCTCCCGCTGTACCCGAGGAGGAATTTCACGCGATCGCTTGTAATTACAGCGTCTTCTGACACCGGCCGTTGCCATTGCTCATAACGTCGCTCCGTCAACCCAAGAGCGTAACTCCAGTTTGAGATGAGCCCTGTTTTTCGTATGATTCCGTGCTTTCGGGGGCTCACGTGGGAACTGAGATACGCCCCGGGAGCGAGGATGAGTCGAGACCACTAATTAAAGCGCAGCGGCCGGCTCTCGGCGAGCATTTACTGCCGTGCTAAGGAAAACCCCCGTATGAGCGTTCGAATGTTGCCAAATTTTCTCTCAGAATAAACGTATTTACGAAAGAAATTATCAATACTTTCCTTTGAAATTTTCACACTTTTTAGATTAAATTACAAACGAAATCCAGTGAATAATTGAAGGAGAAAAATCCACAAATTTCCCGGAAAATTCGGGATTTCTCGAAGGGAATTTGGCAACGCCCAATGGCTCTTACGGCGTTTTCTCCTTAACAAGGCAGCATTAGAGGCCTCGTCGCTTTTCCTTTTCCTTTTTCGCTTAAGTAAAGTGAGGCCTTTATTTTTCCGATCCTGGAGGTTTGCTCGTCTCATGGTCATTTATCACCGCGCTC